GGAAGTTTACTCGTGTACTAATTAAAGTAGCTGAGTAACACAAGATCTTGATAGTCTAAATCCTGGTGATTGTCGTTGAGCAGTTGGAAGTCAGTCAGATAGTTCATAATATGCTTGTGAATCAAGCGCTCTCTGAATATTTTCGCAACGACGTTAGTCAGGGAAATTGGACGGTAGTTATCAGCCAAATTATTTTTTCCAGATTTGAATATTGGCACAATATTTGCAACTTTCCAGTCTGTTGGAATATTCCCCCGAGACAACGTGAAAGTAAAAATGTTTGTCAGTGGTCGGGCCAATTCCATAGCGCATTCCTTGAGTATTCTTGGGGGAATATTGTCAGGGTCAGATGCTTTATTGACATCGATTGACTGAAGTAGTTTCGCCACTTCTTCTTGTCACCGATAACATGATCGGTCAGCTGACCAGGATTCTGGAAATCGCTTGCTTCTGAGTCCTTGGTGAAAACAAATGAATAAAGGCTGATAGTTTCTAAAGAAACTGTTTGGGGCTGCGTCGGTGGGGGTAACGAAATAATTTGGATATATCAACAAAGTTGAAATGGTAAATTGGCCACCGTAACGATTACAAAAGCTGACGTTTCGGAGGGGTTCGTCCGATGAAGGGCTAACGCTCGAAACGTCAGCTTTTGTAATCGTTACGGTGGCCAATTCACCATTTGAACTTTGTTGTTATATCTAAATTACTTGGTGAAAACAGACTGGAAGAGACTGCTGAAAAGGTTGGCTTTGTCAAGAGGTGAATATGCTCTTTTTCCCTACCATCCTTCATACTCGATGCAGCTTGCCACGCTACGATTACCTGTGTGTGCTTTGATGAAAGACCAGAATTTTTTAGGGTTGGTCTTTAAAGAAGCAGTTAAGTCGTTGACATAGTTCCAGTACGCCTTGTTTAATTGGTCTTTCACGCTGTTACTTAGCCTTATCATAGTTATAGAGGGGTTTATCATTAACTAGCGGGGTTCCAGAGGATTTAGCTCGTTCCCATAATCTACGCTTCTTGTGAATTAATTTCCTTAGTTCGACGTTTAACCACGCGGAGGTTTTAAGATGTTTTGATGGAATATTACGTTCGACAGCTTGGAAAAATAAAGTTTTCCAAGCATCCCAGACATCATCCTCAGTCTCCATAAGATATGAACAGTCCCCCTGTAAATTGCAAAAAATCTTCACGTAGACCCAGCCAATCTGCGGCACGATACTATAAAATTTCTATCGGATACATGTCAGATTCAGATAATTTCAGACTTTAAGTCTTTCTTAAGACACAACGAAAAGTCCAACAATATTGAAGGGGACATTGGGCCGGGTTCAGAATACTGAAACATAGGCCTTTATAGATTATGCTAGCATAATTTTTGGCATGATTTGAGCAAACTGGCATAATTTCTGCCAAGTAGCAATGATAGCATAATTCGCATATTTTGATAATTATCGGATCATTTTTGATGCTACAATTTGATCATTGTTCATCTCTATTCCCAAGCACTAGGGGTATCGAATGGTCTTTGAGAGCATTTGCGAGCATGCGAGCAGTGTGTTATTTTTGCGAGCACGAGCAGTTGTCAAATTTTTCTTGCGAGCAGCGAGCACTTTAGAAAATACAGATGACGAGCAGCGTGCACTTTAGAAATATACAGATGGCGAGCAGCGAACACTTCGAGTACTTCGTAAATTTTCCGCAAGCCGGAATCTCTCTTTTATTAAAAGGATACGTTGTTTTGCGCCAAGTAATAGCTAATAATCTGGCTGACACTTCTAGGGCGGTTCAACCAGTCGCAGCATCTTACAGCCAACTTTGCCTTACTTGATGCAAATTACGTCACTTAGCTTCACATGAGTCAGTCAGGGTGGACGTTCGAGAACTTTAAGACTGGCTCTCAAGGAGATGCACTAGATCCAAAGCCCGCGATCCAAAAAGATTTCCATCTCTTTCTAACCCGGCGCTAAAATGGATGGTATGTTTTTTCGGTTATATAGTTCGTACGAAATGTAAATAACGTGACATTCGGTTTAACAAGCATTTTGGCTTCGGTCGGATGATCGGCAAACTGGTTTCCCGCTGATCGACTGAAAAAGATTCAACGCAATGAAGCTTTATTTATTTGGAGGCTTCTAGAATCCAACCAATTACAGCCGTACAAACCTGACATGCTGTAGTAGTAGCTCTGAAAGTCAAATAGTACTGGTAATAGTAGTATTTCTCTAGATTACTTTCTACCTTCTTGAGTACCTTCCAAGAAGAATTCTTACATTTCGTGTTTCCGCGCTTTCGTAGACGTTCCCTCCCCGTTTTTCTTGGGGGGTGGGTACGGCTACACGTAGGCTATGAAAGCGAATCTACCGAGGGAAAAAGCAAAACCAGTATTAACAGAAATGAAATCGTTTGGGTACTTGTTGATAACCTAAGAAACCAAGTGAAAAGATGAACGATCACATATTTGAACTGCGAAACTGTACCCCTCTCAAGCAGAAAGCCTGCGATAATGAACTATGATAAAGTATAAATCAATAAGCGAAATGCTTGTCATGGAGCTTCGTGCGTTTTTCCGATATAGTGCCTCCAAAACAGTTACAGGATGAACTGTTGAAGAAAGACTGAAGCCGGAGGTGGGGATGTTTCAACCTTTTTGTTTTAACCATATCATAACTGATTTATCGTTTGTATGTGAATAAAAAATAAGTACAAAGCAGGATTAATGAAATTTCGAGCAATCGAGCACATGTTAACGAGAATGTGAGCATGCGAGCAGTTGCAAAAATAGTGCGAGCACGAGCAAGCGAGCACCTGTGTTATTTTTGCGAGCAATTCGAGTAAAGGCCAAATTTTTCGAGCACTTGTAAATTGAATGGGACCATTCGATACCCCCAGCACTTGGTGACGTTATTCGATGTTTTAAGTTTTAGTTCAAGTAGTAGCATTTGTAGTTCACTGTGAATCCCTGGGCGGCGTCTGAAACGGTCTGAGCCCGGGTCTGGGGTGAACCGGAACCGGACGTCACATTGTAGGCCATGTTGGTCCCAGTACCTCTCATCAGGCAAGGCTACGAATTACAAAATGGCGCAATCGCAGGCAAGTAATTCATGGCAGTCTCCATATAGACTCCCTGTTACCCAGTCTCCATATAGACTCCCTGTGACCCAGTCTCCAAATACTTTGCGTACCCTGCGTACCCTGCGTACCCTGCGTACCCTGCGTACCCCTGTGTACCCCTGTGTACCCTGGAACTAAATATAACACACATCCAGCAATTTTTACGAAAATTTATATATATATATATGCATACATGCAGAAAACATTTCTCCATGTACATATTTGATACTTCAAGTAAAACTATTGCTGGCTTTCAGAAAAAGATATTCTCCCCGACGTTTGTAAGCTTCAATGTCCTATTGCTGTAAGTGGTGTTACTAGAGGCCATTTACTTCCTTCAAAATGTTATAAAATGTTAACGGACATGAATTTGACAAAACGAAATTCTAGACATGGAATATTAAGAACATTTTTTAATTTTCACATTAAAACTCTTGTAAAATGCCAGTTAGGGGAGTTACGTCACAACATTATAAGTAGGTTTTGTTACATAAAAACTTACCTTAAAAATAAAAGAAAACAGTAAAATTCTACTTTAAAGGGGGTGACAAACATTTAGGGGAACAAATAAGCCAGAAAGATACGACGATGGTCAGGGATGGAGAAGATGAACATAGGTTGGAAACGACGAAGCTGAAAAAAAAAATAGGTATCAGTTTTGCAATACGCACAAACCATTAGCTAGCTGCCATAAAACAAGAGCGTAGTTAATTGAAGTGGAATGGTTGGGGAACCATTTGTTGAATTTCTGTTGGCTTTTTGGACGTAACCGTGCACAACGTTCAATTTGAACTGACCGACCAATAATCCCGGGGGGACTCCTATATAAAAAGGACTGGGATGCTCGTTGTCTCGCTTAGGGGTGTAAATTTCAAGATAACGGTCTCACTTTGGGTGTTCTGGGAAAAACTGAGTTACATTTAGCCGTAAGGGTCTCTTTTAGGGTTGCACGCGATGAAAAATATATTTAAAATATTCTTTTTCTCTCAGGAACATATTACTCAAGAGCCAATTGCTCCAGGCTTTATTTACTCGATTCATGTCATTAAAGATTGAAATGGTCTCATTTAGGGGTCCAAAAACGGTATCGACACGCCCACATTTGTCTCCTTTGGGAGTTTATTCCAAAATTCCAGACGAGCATTCCAGTCCATTTTATATGGGATTTCCCGCCCTGGGCTAGTAAAATCATAATAAGTTATTCATAATTCGGGTACACCGGGTACACCGGGTACACCGGGTACACCGGGTACACCGGGTACACCGGGTACACCGGGTACACCGGGTACGCAGGGGTACACAGGGTACGCAGGGGTACACAGGGTACGCAGGGGTACACAGGGTACACAGGGTACACAGGGTATGCAGGGGTACACAGGGGTACACGGGGTACACAGTATGAGGAGAATGGGTAACAGGGAGTCTATATGGAGACTGGGTAACAGGGAGTCTATATGGAGACTGCCATTAATTACTTGCCCAATCGCAGATAAGCTACACGAGAGTATAGTCTAGTACTAGTGTGTATGTTAACATGAGCCACATGTTTATTTGAATTTCATTGTGGATTTGTTGCGTTTCTTTCTTGTAGACCAACAGCTTCTAATTAAAAAGTGTATTTTTTAGACCTCTTTGCAATTTTTTCAAAGAGCATATTTTAAAAAAAGGGGCATAATTTTAGCATAATTTCGCCAAAAAAGAAGCAATGCTACTAGCTTAATATGCTACTTTTACTGGCATAATCTATAAAGGCCTACCGCAACACCGCAAACAAAATTCTTATTCAAGGAGCAACTGAAAGGCGAGTGGGTGAAAGAGGAGAGAACTGGTAGCGAGTTGATATTTCACTTCATCGTACATGATGTAGGACATATAGTACTGGGGAAGTAAGTCGAAAACAGCGTGCAAGTGAAGATGAGGAACGTTTTGATCAATTCTTCGGATTTCGAACTCTTTGATCCAGATATCACACCTCAAGACTACGAATTCTTCCAGAAGCACAAGGGAGCACTCAAGAGTTTACTGGAAGATCAGGTATTGAAATGAACAGTGAAAAGAACGATTCAGAATACCCAGCCACATCATTTACATGTCATTAACTAAGAATAGCGTCTATTGTGTTATACCTCATTCTCCAAAGCCTCCCGACATATGTAAATGATGTGGACGGGTATTCTGAAGTTGCTCCGATATCCTACCATCGTACTAAATTTCAACACGGTGTTCGATCGTATGAATTCACGTTTTTCTACTTCTACCAAGTTTGGTGGCACATTATTCCCTGGTCCTTTTAGTGTAGTGGGTTCATTTTTCAGTTTGATTTACCTAGATTTGATATAGTGCTTCCTAATAGTAATTGTGTCAGTCTTTCCATCCTTCTCCAAACCGCTCACATATGAACACAGTGTAATTTAGTCCAAAGCAAGTAAACAAGCTTATTTTTCCTTTGTCTATTGTGCATAGGGAATCATTATAGGCTCTGTTGGTAATATCACAAAGATCTTAGTCTTTGTGGTACACATATCATGGTAAACCAAAAATATTTCAAACTAGCTGAAAGTATGGGGCACTCTGTTGAAATTATGCATAATTTATTTTGCGAACATAAAAGTACCTAGTACCTTTTGCTAGTTGGCAGACCTTATACTTCTCAATGGTGGATCCAGACCTTGAGCCAGAGGAGGGCTGTGTCTGTGTGTGTGTGTGTGTGTGTGTGTGTGTGTGTGTTTACACCTGCCAGCTTTTCTTCCTTTTGCGTTTACTTTTTTACCCAAAATAAAGGGGAGCCCAGGTCCCTCAGTCCCCTTCCCACTGCTATTATTGATTTGTGTATGATAAAGAAGCTATTTTAGCATTACCAATTTCTATCATGAAAGTAGGCTGTATACTGAAAGACAAGGCACAAAAGGAATTATTACATGCATATGAAAAGTAGTAATTCTGCCTGCCATATATAAGAGAGATGTGATATTACTCTTGGAGCATGATTATTTTGTGTCTGAAAATATTAAAACAAAAAACAAAAACAAAAAAAGAGATTTGAACACCATTTTAGCTGTCTGTGTGATGGAAGTATTAGCCATCAAAATTTGTAATTCACTTTGTGGTACACCATGTAAAAATTGGAATTGCTTTAAAATACCATTCAGGAAAGATTGTCATTTTGTCGCAACAAGGTATGGCAGATTGTGCTTTGACAAGACTCTGCCAGTTTTAATTGTCTCTAAAAATTTTTATTGTGGTATTTTAGTCACAAGAACAAAAGCAGAAGTTTGTTAAGGCATTCAGGGATTTTTCATTAAATCATGGCTGCATGAAAGACTTTCCTCTTAAGGTACAGTATATATCCTTGAATACTGTTATGAGGTTTGTAAAATTTGCCGTAACTCTAACTGTAACTCAGCAATCCTCATCCTGTCAGCTGCGCCTCGTTTCACTTAAGTTTTGAACATTGTTGACGTCACCTCTATTATCAATGAAGTGAAAGACAATGGAAACTTGTGGGAAATTTCAAGTTAACCTGGTGTTAGAGGCATAAAATGATTGGAGAACTTCCTTTCTTTAAGAGCTGGTTAGGTCTTACAAGAACTTATTTATCTCAACACCAAAACTACCTAGTTGTGAATGCAATCTCCTCCATTGATAGTGCAATATTAAAGCAGAGGACCAAATAACACAATGAAATTCTCTACATTGAAGTATCTTTCTTATCTCAGAAAGCATAGTTTTTTATTTTTAATTGTTATCTCATCCTTTCTTGACAGAATGAACATAGCTTTGTAGATGATGTCATGGAAAACATTTCCAAAAGCTTTGTTGATGGTACTATTCAGTGTTACTATTTAGAGCAGTATGTTCAGAATCTAAAGCAGACGGTACATACTTACTTAAGACCAGGGTTTTCAAAAATAAAATTAGCAACCAGACTAAGATACAAAGTAGGTGGCAATGAACAGTTTTGTCTCCTTCAATTTAATGTTTCTATACTGAAAATGGATCCACAAGAATTTGGAAAAGCTGGCATGTGTTTTAGAGTGGACAGTGAAATGTACTGGTGCTCAACCCTTCAAAGCTGTGTTCTGTTGTTTTTTTTTTTATTTAATTTGAGTATCAGTGAAATAATCAACTTACAGCAGTATTATGGTTTTAAAAGGTGTGGACCAAAAAAAAAAACAGACAAACTTTAAAGATACAAATTACAATGAAGACTACAAAAGAACACAGGAAAAATAGAAAGAAACATCTTCTTTTTCATTTACATCTGCTGTTTTTGAGCCCCATTGGCAAGATACAATTTATGTCATTTTTGCTCTTAACCTTTCTCTGAGGTTTAAAAGGACATTTTATTGTGTTCATACAGGTAAGGCAAGTAAAGCTAAATGTTTGGTCACTGATGCTGTTTGCCTGCTTCAAAACAGGGGCATGATTCAGAATATCGGTGGTACTTCCTCATGTGGTAGGTAGACAACTTTAATTGTGAACCCATAACAGTTCTGCCCTCTCTATTATTATCTTACAATCTTTGATTTCCTCAACTGATTTGTAGACACCTTTAATTGTGAACCCACAACAGTTCTGCCCTCTCTATTATTATCTTACAATCTTTGATTTCCTCAACTGATTTGTAGACACCTTTAATTGTGAACCCACAACAGTTCTGCCCTCTCTATTATTATCTTACAATCTTTGATTTCCTCTACTGATTTGTAGACACCTTTAATTGTGAACCCATAACAGTTCTGCCCTCTCTATTATTATCTTGCAATCTTTGATTTCCTCTACTGATTTGTTTATTTTTTGGTAACATCAACAATGTGATTACATTTTGGTTTGTAACTCCCATTTATTCTTAATTTTACCCTTTACCATGAATTGTAATAAATGAACCAGTGTGGGCATTTAGTCGCCGACTTGTCACTTGCTCTTAACAGTGCATGGAGAACTCCATCATTTCCTTTGTATTTCAAGCTCTTAACCATTTCGCTGTCCTGATCTCTTAAGTAATTCTTGTTACTGTCTTTCGTACAATTTTTAAGATAAGTCCTGAGAATTTGGTATTGGGTCAAATAAAAACTCCTTAATTGACATTTTGCTTTTTTCTCATCTCTTGTCTGCTTAATGTTTTATTGATAAAATTGTAAGGAGAAATGCTGTCGTTGTCATGTGTATTGTTGCATGTTTTACAAACTCTGCAGTCTGAACTGTTAGGTGTTAATGAAGCAGGGTTACGTAAGTACAGATACGTAATTCCCAGATCGGAGATAACAGGTATTTGAAGCATGCGTTCCTGTTTTGAATATTAGTTTTTTGTCGTTTTAATTTCGAGTGACATTAAAGTTTCTTTCGGTCGGCCTTTTTAATCCAGGAGTGATTTCTTAGCGTACGGACACAACATGAACCATGTATTTTAACATTTGACTTTTATGTCCTCAGCCAGAGATCCCTTTGTTAACAAAGATACAAGGTATGTTGTGTGAAGATAGAGAAGCCTGGGATTAAGTTTGTTACGTTTTTGTTTAATCTATGACAGCTCTCAGAAATTTCAGTCGTTTATCTTTGATGTGAAATTGTGACATGTTGATTCTTTATTTGTTTTCAGAGATGTGTTCCGAAGGCTCTTTGGAGAACCAGAACAAGAGTCCCGATTAAAGGTTCTTATCTTAAGATTCCCTATAAATGTATACAGACTGAACATATGTACATGGAACAATTTTGGATTATTTTTCTTCCTTGTCTTTCAAATGTCTATTGTAATTAATCCAGTATAAGCGTGCGAACTTAATTTTATAGGCTGCTGTAGTATTTCCTTTGTACGTGAAGTTTGGTGGATCAGTTTGTCGCTATTTAAGGCGTTGGCTTGAAGCTGGAAAACTGGACGAGCTTGGTGTCACGTCCTTGTCACAGGTGCCTTTAGCAGCTCTGCAAAAAGTCAGCTCGGCCGCCAGCAACTCCGAGTCAGTACAAAGCATAAACACCAAAGAGGACACCGCAAAAGCTTCCTCCACTGAAGTCGTTAGACCAAGTGGAGGTCCAATGGTGGCAGTAGCCACTATCGGTCGCAATGGAGGAGCAGTAGACAGCGATGATGATGAAGACGACGAGGAAGATAGCTGGGAGACGAAGGTCATAAGAGGTATTCAGTCAGTGCTAACGGACAGGGGGGGAGCCTCTGCTATTGACTACATGGAAGTGTATAAACGGGACAAAGATGGCTCCTACAGGAGGCTGAGAGAACAGTTTCACCTCGGGAAGCCTCACCCGAACGTGGAATTTGAAGAAAGGTGTAGGAAGAAAGAGGAAGAAGTGATTGAAGGCAGTCGGCTGCGTGAGGTGATTATGAAGGACTATGCTGACAGCTGTAGTAAGAAGAAACACGCATGTGCTAACTGTAGGCAAGTCGAGAGATACCCGGGAACGTTTAAGAAGTGTCAGAGGTAAGGCTACGTTTTCTATCTGAACTTTTTTTTTCAGTCTTGCAGACTGAGGTTCACGATTCACAATTTTAGGCTGAAAACAAAAATCTTGTAAAATTTGCTACCGTCCGTGAAAAAAAAAATTAATAGATATTATCAGATAGCAAATTAGTTGTGAACTTGTATCGTTCGTGGTCACCTCCAAATGTCTCGACACGAAAGAAATTTTAAGACATTATTAAAGTTCCCTTCCCTGTTAACTTATTCTTGCTTGGGTGAAAATGCGAACGAAGATGATTCCCAGGAGAAATGTCACCCGTCTAAAATTGCAAGAATTTATCCCCTTTACACCGAAAAAAAAATCGCCAATTCGCAAAAAAACACTCACTGAATTCATATTTTACAAGGTGTTTGTACTATTTTTTTTCCTTTGGGAAACGTATTGTTCTCGATCGTGTATTTTACATATTCTGATAGGTGCAATGGAAAGGGCACAAGATTTTACTGCAGTCGTAAATGCCAAGGTAAGACAAAGTGGCGTGAATTTTGACAACTGGTCATGAGTCTCAATATTCTATGGACAAATCAGTGAATTATACTGTGGAAAGCCAAGCGGAAAGCATCGAGGGAACTCGAACAAGTGGCTTGATATGGAGCCTATCACTTGAACTACAGGTTACCTGCTCCTTTTCATCGATTTCGAGAGAGCATTCGACAAAAAAGGGCCTTCGTGCGGTTCCTTTTTCATTACTTGGATTAATTTATTTTACCCTGATATATATAAAAAGGCCTTCGCGCGGTTCCTTTTTCATTACTTGGATTGATTTCTTTTACCCTGATATCCAAAGCTCAGTGCATAATAAATAACGGATGGTCGGGAGTTTCTTTGGCTTTGGTGCAGGTGTAAGGCAGGGCTGCCCGCTCTCGCCTTACCTTTTCATCCTCTGTATCGAAGTGCTAGCTACAGCTATTCGGAGGCAAGGAGATAAAAAGAATCTCCGTGGGAATTGTCGAGTGTAAATTCAGTCAGTATGCGGACGACACTACGATGATATTAGATGGCTCACAAGAGTCGCTTGAGAAGTCTTTTGCTTTGTTAGACAGTTTCGGTCAACTGTCTGGCCTTCAAGTTAACTGTGAAAAAACCGAAGTTCTTTTGGTTAGGATCAAAGAAAAGATCAAATCAAATTATGTACCCAGAAAAAAGCTTGAAATGGGTGGAGGATAAAGTCAAGGCTTTTAGGTGTTTGGTTTTGTACAGACCAAAATGAAGGAATTAAAATGAACTAGGAAGACAAGGTTCACAAAGTTGACGATGTTCTTAACAATTGGCAAAACAGGAGATTAACGCTTCCTGAGACGATAACAATTATAAAGACGCTAGCTGCATCTCAATTAGTCTATGTTATGTCCTCACTAAGTACATGTTTTAAATCGTTCAAAGAAATAAATGATTTGCTTTTCAAATTTCTCTGGGATGGAAAAGAGACAAAATCAAACAGTCTGAAATGATTGTTGACTACGAAGGTGGTGGTAAAAAAATGTTGGATATCATGCCATTCAACAACGCTTTAAAGATTGCGTGGATAGCTAAGTATATTTCTCATGATTGCAAATCCCAATGGAAAAATTTCTGGGATTATTATCTTTCAAAATGGGGGGGGGGGGGGGGGGGAATTAGTTTTTCTTGGGAACCTGGAAAAAAAAGACGCTACCAGACATGATATCAAAGATGACTTCCTCCGAGAACTTATCGAAATTTGGGTGAACTCTTTCCTCTCCAATCAGGCGTCAACTCATTTGTCAGAATTGCTAATAGGCCTTTTTTTTGTACAAGCACAGGGCCGAAGCTGGTATACAAAATATCAAAGATCTTATTAACGATGATTTTATGGTCATAACTTAAAGATATTTTAGAGAGAAATATTGCTTATCGGCCTCTTTCCTTGAATTTTATGGAGTGACCTCAGCCGTAAGGAGCGCGATGATCAGGCGTAAGATCAGGCGTAAGATCAGGCGTTTTCGGTGCAAAGACTTATTGCAGCAACCGAGCCGACAAAATTAGCGTATAAAATTCTTATAAGGAAAAATTCTACCAGCCCCCAAGAGTCAAGAAAAATGGATAAGGGGACTGTGGCCTTGAAGTGGGAGAGGATTTGAATATTGGAGGTCGATTTATTTCTTACCAAGGCAGTGTACACTCAGTAATAAGATAAGGAACTACCTGTTCAAATTTCTCCACAAACGCATAGCAACGAATGGCTTTTTAACTAAAATAGGAATTTCTGATACTGCTCTTTGTTATTTATGCAAAACAGACAAGGAAACGTTAATCCTTTTCTGGGAATGTTCGGTAACGAAAGCCTTTTGAGGAAGAATTCATACTGTTTTCGTTTCAATCCATGGGATATCAGCCTCACGGGTTTTGGATATCTATGAATGTTTAGGTTTTCAGAGGAGAGAAAGATTAAGAACATCTTTCTATCTATCAGAGTATATGCGCAACAGCTGGAATATAATTTAGAACAACAAATTTCCATCGTGACTGATACACAGCATAAATTTCAACAGAAGTAGCACAAAATACTTCTTGAACTGTAATTGCTCCATAGTATGGCTATATCCTGTACTTTTGAGTTCCTTTCAAGCAATTACTCTTGTCTGTCCCATTCATTTTCTAGCCTTTTCCCTTTTAAAATTGTTAACATATTGTGCTTAAATTCTCTTTTTTTTTCTTTTTGTACCATAAGTATAAGTATTGTAATGCAATCTAGGGTTTATGTAGAGAACCTTAGTGAAGTTAGTGTAAGTATTGTAAGTAGTGTTCTTTGGTTATAAAAGAAAAAGGTTACCTAGTAGTTTATTTGTAGAAGACCGTGGGTTCAGCCTAAAAACTTGGAGTACACAGAAGAGGGGAGTTTTAGAATTGAAACAGTAAACTTCACCTTAAGATAGCTATTGATTGCTCTATCCTCTTCCAAGGTGAAGACTGGGTTTCGAGGCACCGACAGGACCACTCTACAATGGATTTACCGTCATAAAATTGTCCAATTGCTGGCCTATTTCTCTCCATGATGGCAATCAAATGTGATCTTCATTGTTTACGGAAACGATCATTGATCAAGTTCTCAGTAGTTTGTGAAAGTTTCGCAGACGAGAAGTAAAACTCCTTAGATGCTGTTGTGTGGCCAACCAGTGTGACAAAAACGTGTCACATGTGTGAAAGTCAAAAAAATATGCCAAAGAAGTTTGTTTTATGCTCTAGACTGCTCTAAGGGTCATCGTACTGAATTTTTTTTCACTGTTATGGATACAAGTATTATGTCCTTCGCAGCCGTTGTTTGGTCTCGTTGCACAACGCGCTCCTTCCCTCACCAGAGTTACAAAAGAGTGCGCGTTGTGTGACGTGACCAGACGACGGCTGCGAAGGAGACTAGGACACAAGGTGATCCTATCGAATGTGTAATCGGTAATTAACGATTTACCACACTGTAGTCTTAAACTGTATGTATAAAGTCAGTACTGTATTTATTTGTTAATAAAACAACCCACATAATGAAGGTACAACTTGTGAGTTAAATGTTTAATTTCTGTGGCCCCCGATTTTCTAAAGTAAGCATGGTGACAAAAACTCCTTAGTACGACACCCATAAGACAAACAGGAACTCAGAAATTTATTCTCGTGCTTAGCACCAAATCATGATAATGACCCTATAATAGGTTAAACTAGATGTGTGCTGCGTCAAGGATTTGAGGCCAAAAGCGTTTACTATGTCCTTGTCACCTCAGTGAGTATGTGAAGGAACCCACGAGGTCCATGAATGTTCCCAAAACATTTTAGAACCTTGAGCTGTTGGTCTGAAGTACAGTTAAGGCAACTGTGGGTAATTTTGAGCAATTGAGTTGAATTACTTTCTCCTCATTACGCTCGATTTGATAAAGCAGCCGTCTGTAGTTGACAGTCGCTGGTACGACAAAAAAAGGATGATTTCTATGAATGACAATTTTATTTATACTTGAATTTAAGATAGCAAATACATGCTAATATCTCCAAGTTAAATTATCTAAATTTAAAATATTTAAAATTAATCTAATTGCTAACTATCTAAATACTATCTATGCTCAAACCACCTACTCAAAAAAGGATCGTTAGTCAACTAGTGTCTTATCCACCTGACGAGAGAGGACTTTTAACCCTTTCGAAACAGATCTGTAGTGCGAAGTTTTAGTGCGAAGTTTTAATTTTTATTTTCCTAAATAATTGTTTACAAAGCTCCATGATTGTAGAGCACTCTCCGATTCAAGGATAAGGTTTTTTACGTTTAAATACTATTTATATATAAAATACAAAATATAATTATAAAGCATAGGATATTGAAATATGATTTTTAAACAAGATAAAAACTAATTAAAATTTATTCTACAGGTCGAATTTCAATTTAGAAATTTCGGATTTAAATTCACTTCATTCGTGTAGCAGTCTTATGTTATTGGGAAGAGAGTTCCATAGCTTACTACCCTGATAGGCCAATGAGTGGAGGCCGTAGCTAGTGGTATTAACCCTGGGTACCGTGATAAGAATATTATCCCCCCTCAGATTAATCTTGCAGTTGCGTAAAGTAAATAACCTAGAATATATTCTGGAACCAATTCATGCAAAGCTTTAAATACTAATGTTAAAATATTATGAATTATTCTATTATACAAAGTAGGATGCTTAATACGCAATAATAATTCCTTATACGAGCTTTTATCATCATTGTAAATAAAGCGCAACGCACGTTCATTAAGTTGTTCCAATTTGTTGGAATTACCTTTTCCGCAATGATGCCATACAATAGAACAATAATTTAAATGAGGCAAAAGATAAGCATTATATAATGTAACCTTGGCATGGATGTTAATTAATTTCTTATGTCTTTGTAAAACTTTAATTTGCTTGCTAACTTTCCGTACTATGTTACCTATATGTTCATTAAACTTTAAGTCATGATCAATGGTTACACCCAGTAGCTTAACACCCCCACCACCCCCCCCACAAAACTGATCTCCTGACTCCCAATGGAAAAACAGGGTTGTTGAAGTTGAAGTTGTTGAAGTTGAAGTTCATTTATTTGTTTAAGCAGGTTGATTAATTGGCAGCTGTACTAGCTGATGTGGACCTGCTGTCCTAACCCACCCATCCCACCCCAGAAGAGGACATCCATCACACAGTAATCCCGTGTGTGGGAAATTAACGTCACCTACCCCTAATCCTGCAGAATACGGGACCTCCTTTTATTCGTCCCTATCCGACAAGACTTGAATATCTAACCATTTCTTGATGTTATAGAAAGGTAGCATATTCTTCTCAATTATTTTAAGACCTTGAGTGTTGGTCCGGCCGGGGCTCGAACCCTCGACCTCCCGCACTACAGTCCAGCGCTCTATCCATTGAGCTAACCGGGAGGCGGTGTATAGTAGTGTATAGTTGCTCTTACCCAGCCACATGGTAGTACATTTATCCGGATTCATCACAAGGCCATTAGAGCAAAACCAGGAATGAGGAGTGACAAGATCAGTTTGTAGGTGTCCATGTAATAGGGAAACATCGTTATTAATATCAAAGATCTGAGTATCATCGGCAAATGAACTTATTTTGGACTGAAGACTAGATAATAGTAAATAATTTAGGTAAATATTAAAAAGAAGGGGACCTAATACAGACCCTTGAGGAATTCCTCCAAGAAGAGGACTCCAATCTGAAAATTGATCGCCTAATTTTACTCTCTGTAAGCGATCAGTTAAGTAATTACCTATAAATGCACAACTTTTAGATGATATACCATAGGCAGCGAGTTTGGCTAAAATTAAATCATGTGGCAAACTGTCGAAGGCCTTGGACAGATTATCACTATGTGATTATCACTGTCGAAATCGATGATCTAGTTAGAAAAAGGACAATGAATGAACCTTTAAACGTTTGCCTTAAGATGTAAGAGTAGTCAGGCTAATCAATCATGTATTGATCGCGGCGTTTCTCCTGCTGTACTGCTAATTTTCGTCAGGCTACGGCGACGAGGTCGGCACTGGTAGTTATAGCTAACCAGTATATGAAAGAGTTAGAGGAATAGGCTATACTGAGAGCGCATCACAAACCTAAGATCTGAAAGCGATTCGTAGATGATACTTTTACTCACCTTAAATCGAAACAATGTTGATGGCTTATTACAACATTTAAACAATCAATAGCCTACCATCCATTTACTGTGGAAGTCTCCGGAGAAGACCAACACCGTTCCCTCTCATGACGCGTCGGTTACGAGAGACGCAGGTTTGCTTGACACCAGCGCCAGAAAGCCCAGTCACACTGACCAATACTTAGCCTATGACAAATACCACCCTCAGTCATTAAAAAGGGGTATTTTTTAGTGTCTATGAAACTGAGGCAAATACCTCATAACAAAACCATCAACTAATTGACGGAAGTCTACCCTCATTTGTACAAAAGATTACGAAAACGAAAAGATCAACAGCCAATGACGAACTCATGCATATTTTCAAATCTACCGCGGTTGTACCCTACATTTAAGGTGTCTCAGTGGTTCTTCGCCGCTGCTTGTAACAAGGCGTGTGCACCGTCTTTAAATCTGACACGATAAGGCCGCGTATTAAAGGTTATAATAAATTGCGAAGTAGCTAGAAGCCTAACTCCTGTTTTTACTACGCAAATCTCTTATCATCATCAGCCACTTTATGAAATTAACTAAATGGAGTGTCTCCGCTCTCGTTACTAGTGTGCGTGCCATGTCATGGCGAATTGTTGAAAAGGTGATTGAAAATGTGGCTGGAAACGAGTTAGCCGTGCATTGTCCAACTGACGTGCTTTAGTATCGAAACATCCTTGTCTAAAACGTAAACAACTGTAGCGCAAAAAACTCGCAAAGCGTCCGAGTAACAGAGCTTACGTCACAAACGATGCCACAGTGTCCAAGCTTTCTTGATGAACTGCGA